AACAGCTGACGGGTGAAACTGATAGAAAGGCAACAATAAATGCAGCTTTTATTCAGTATGAAATAAAATATGTTTTACCTCTCAACTAAATCACTTTTTCTGCCATGGGTAGTAGCACTCCGTTTCCTCAATTCAGTCTTCAGCTTCTGTACCGACCAGTTCTGAAAACACTCGTCCGCCATCTTGGCATCGGTAGTAACCCCCTAGTACACGCGCGCCCCCTGGTGAGTAGTGTCGCGGCGGGAACCATTGTGAGTGAGAGGCCCGACAAAGGGCGTGATCCGTTATAGCCGTACTGATCCGCTATAGCCGACAAATCGGTAGGTCTTGTTTTCCTTATTTCGTTGTGTACGTTTGATTTTATGAAGATCTTTTGGTATCACTGGAGAGGTAATTAAATGTACTTTCTGAAAATATATGTCTTTAAAAAAAACTTTTGCAAAAATTGTGTGAAGCAATTATATGCAAAGTGATCCGCTGCTGCCGTAACAACTGTACGTGTTTGTCGACGTGTTAGAATCAGCTAATTATTCTGTCACTCTTGTGTTTTAGAGGATCTTCGGTATATTCTTGTAGTCAGCGTCATTAACATGCTTGTAATTATTTATGATCTGAAAGTTTCGTTGACCAGCGGTTACATTATGTGTTTCCCAGGAAAATTTTGGTAACAACGTTCCTGAACCAAATCGCAATTTGTACGCTTTGTTATGGAAAGAAAATCGTTTCCACGCGTTCAGATACAATTAATACCAAACTAGACAATCAGCGCAGCTGAATACTTTATTAGAAGTGAGTCAAAATATACACACATATATATAAAAAATAAAACAAAAGACAGAGATAGCGTATCTAGGCCTTTCTCGGGTTGATTCCCCGTTTATCAGGAGGTCAAAGTTGTTTACACAAGAAAGTATGACGTCATCAATAATGCAAAGTCATTATGACGTCACAGAAGGAATACACATAAATCCATGACGTCAACAACAATACAAGCTTATATGTGACGTCACAATACTTAGACAAATGCATAACTTTATGATCTTACCAACAATAAACAATACGGCAGATACAAATTGTTTCATTTACGGCAACAATAAAATATGAACAATAATATTTAAAGCACAGCAATTGGTTAAAGCATGACACGTCGAATTTAATGTGAACTATTCAGACTGGGTTTATATATATATATATATATTACACTATATACTATGATCAATTATAATAATTATATAACACAACGTTTTCGGGTACAATACAAAATATACAGATAGAAGAAGGGTCATAAGTCTGATGAACTAAATAACTCATTTTGATCCTGGTACGAATTTATTCTTTTGCGATTACACGGCATAATATGTTAATTACTTCATAAACTTTACGTTAAGACATATGCACATAATTAAAGTTAACTTGTACAAAGTTAGACTGAACGAGTTATTCCAAAAATATTTTCATTAATTAATATATCATAAAATATCATATGATTGATTCTTGATATCTTAATCTTGTAATAGAATAAAACCTTTCTCTCAGTAGTGAGAAATAAATATAGTTTGGTGTTATAATATTCCTGAATAGTGACACATTTTAAATACATAAACAAGAAATACTTATTTTATTGTCATTAAATAGAAATAAAATTCCAAAAAAAAATTATATTAGCATTTAGCAACTTTAAATAAATTCCAATTTCTTCGAACCTTAACAAGTTTACAGGAAATGTAAAGATATTTTTTTCTTTAATATCAACTGTTTGTCTGTTTTTAAATGTAACATTTCGGATATAAATCCTGGAGGACCTGAAAATGTTTATGCAGGCCTTCTAAGGCTTTGTCAAAGCTCGCCTGAAAGCAGCATCAGCTTACTAGGTCCGATTATATTTCACAAAAACAAAACTCTGGTCCAAGCGGTTCAACCGTTTGGATCGCGACAAACGAAAACGG